GAAAATGAAATTAGGTTAAGGATTTTTAATATAAGTTATTAATTATAATAATAATAATAATAATAATAATATATTATTTATTATTATAATTAACATTTAAATATGTATTTTCCCCAAGACGCGCCGTCGCAATGAAACGAACGTCCCCCCTAAGCAAAGTCGATGTTCCGGACGCATCGGCGCAGTCTGTTTCGTCATCCGGAGTCGTCCGAACAACCTCGTCGTCAATCGGGTTAAAATGTGTCGCGGTCCGAATCCTATCAAAATTCCGATATGAGTTCAATCAAACAGGACGGTGCAGAGGACAACGGTGCCAAATCAACGAGTACAGTCAATCTTAAGGTCGACAATCCTATAGGAATACTCCCTCAGTTCCTTCAGAGTAGTCTTACCTGTTAAGCAATAGCAGTCAAAAATACTATATGGAACGTCAAGTCGAGCGAAGAAAAGTTCATAATTGCTAATGGGGAGGGCTCCTTCACTAGTTTTCTGGTTGTAGTCGACAGAAAGGTCCTGCGGCTAGATCCTAGGCTACTAAGGAGGGGAAAACTACACCTCGAACGAAAGCAAGGTCAACAAAGGACTATTGTACATAGATACTTAACCCTTGTACCTAGAGAAGGCAATTCACTGAAATAGAAGAGAGAAGCGCAGACTTCCAAGGTGGACAGATACTTGGGAATGGCAAATATGTCATTTAACTTGCAGCAATACATTATTGGTTGAGTATGCATCTCTAAGTAACCCAATTCTTGGGATAGTGCATACTCTCTTGCACATCAAAGCATTCAAATAGAAAGCAAGAATTTCACACCCCATTGTCAGTACTGCTTAGCAGTTGAAAAGCATTTATATCTAGTTCAAATGAGATCTGCCAGTGAACTATAATCGGCATAACTGTGTGTTTGTAGTGGCGATGATATTATTGAAAATGATAATACTCTTTCGTGAAAATAAAATGCCATAAAATAAAAAATAGACCATCACTTTCTGTTAGAAACACTTATTAAAACATCCAACATTCAATCTCAAACATCTCGATTCTTCCATAACAACTTCTAAAATTCAAGGCACGCCATCATGGATGCTACATTTAAGAAAAGCACAACATTTCACCTGCAAACTAATCAAACTGATATCATTGCCAAAAGTTTTGCACATCTACTAAGAAATTTTATCTTTCGACATGTGAAGACATGAGATGAAACCTACATTGCATCTAATTCTCCTTTAATAGGGTGATTCACGGTTCCATAAAACAAGCACCATTTCAGACATGTCCACAATACATGCCTCAAAGCCTTTTGACTGGAGTTCTTAACAGAATGGATAGTAACTCTTCAAAGTAAAGAAGAAGAGCTCAAAAAAAACTCGTACACTCCTGAAGTGAATCTAAATAATCCATTATAAGGTAGAGAAGGAAGTCAACAAGTCACATCAATATTGTGTGTCCGCATGGCGGTCATTAAGTTGAGAAGAAATTTGAAAAAGGAGATCTTGTATGGCTTCACAATAATCAGAAGTAGTTGAAGGGGTAGAGAGGAAAATAAATCAATTAGATATAGGTTGTCCAAGATATTTATGAAGATCAAAGATAGTGCATGATAGTTAGCATTGTATGCCAATAAGGGTATCTACTAAGTGATGAATGTGGAAAACCAAAATCCATTTGATCCTTAGATATTAGATGATAAGGTCGATGACTTGCAACTAGGCTAAATCTATTAGCTAAAAAAGTACCAATTTTTAAGAAAACCTAAACTTTATGAAGCTAGACGTTCGTCAAGCCCCATAGACAAATGATGTGCATAATGATCAAGCACAAAAAAAAATGCAACAATAAGGTATATGACCAGCAAATAAGAAAGAAAAGGAGTGACTAACTGTCATAATGAAAAAGTTTAAGGAAAAAAAATGCACAAAATCAATTTTAAAACTATAGCAGTACTCAACTAGATTGAATGGAATAAGATTTCATAAAGCTGACCAAAAATAGTTAGGATACGTATAAACATGATGACGATTTATCGAGCTAAAAAATAAGTTATTACTAAGGGGTCCTTGAGATCATGTTGCATAAGAATGTCTTCATTAATTTGAAAAACCGCATGTTACAACTTTTTCAATAGTCTTCCTAATTGTTTTGCTATTGAAATGTGTTTCAGCTCAACTGAAGAGGGTCAAAAATATCAAAGAAGGGTCTTAATAGACTAAAATTCATGTGGAGAGAAATTTGTATCGTTCACTAGTTTTAACATGAGGTTTATTAAGTGGTTTCATACCATAATAAATCCACCGAAAATTATTTGAAGGATGATACTGGAGTTAACCCAAACAACAATAAGCAAACAAATTTTATTACTGAAAAAGCCAAAAGGCAGTTACAACTAACACACGGGAACAGAAATAACATTATGACACACGGCTATAGTGGATCTCAGGATATGGTTTTGGCCATTAGGGGGATTAGAGAGATGGCGGCAAAGTAAAGATGGGGTAGACTACATGATTGTTATAGAAGAAAACACTGGTACAGAGTAGACCATAGTAGTTAGTCACACCTTTTTTATGGATTAAACCTTGATCAGAAGAAGGCTTGAGCCAGTGAATTGGGTTGGATGCCTATGAATAAGATTCCCCGCTGACGGCAACAAGATTCATAGCACAAGGACATCCTAGACGAGCAAATTTGTTAACACTATGGAGGAGTTAATGCCATCATGTCGTGTAGAGGTGGTGAACCAAAAAATGTTCAAGGAGTACTGAAAGCGATACTCATTGGTGTTAAATTTCTCAAGCTAAAAAATATGAAAGAAAGCTCCAGGTCTACAACCAATGCCATGGTAAAGCAAACCTATTTTGCATAGCCATTTTATCTTAATAAACCTGATTAGGATAGTTTCTATCCACAGTTTAAAATATTTGAACAATTTTTGTACTAACAAGGATCTAGGTAAAAGGGCTCATGCGAGAATTTACTAGAGGAAATGCAGTTTGACTGAAAACATTCAGGTATGTTGTTATCTGAAAGGAAAGTAACTGTATATGCCATATGGAAAGCAAAAATATCAAGTAGCACACTCAGGAAAATGCGTTCCTCTATATCAACAGCTCATGCTCAATGAAAGACTCGAGACCCTAAACATATCAAACATCTAGCTATGTTATACATTTGGGGCATCACATAGAAGATATCTACATTTATGTTGGATCAAGTTTCTTTAGCCCAATCCTATATATAAAAGAGCTTCCACCAAGATTATAGAGGATATTATAGCGTATCATTAGAGCTCAATCTTGAAATAACAGTAGCTTTTTTTTGTATCATTTTGATGTATAAAATCTTATGAGACATGCATTCAAAAGAGATAGTGTCAAAAATCTGATCAAAGCATCAAGCTTTAGGGAAAGCAAAGGACTTTTACCTTGTAGATTCGACTTCTTTAATTTTCCTTTATTTATGCCATCTTCTTTTGCTTAAAGTTTTTAGTTTGTTCTCGCATTGAATAAGTGAGCGATCATTATTGATACACTCAAAACTAATAATAGAGATCAAGGAACAAAATCAAGAAACTATAGCAAAGGTCAACTTTATCTCGTTTGATTCTGATTTTATAATCAACTCATATTCTTCAACCTTTAATTTTCTTATACTATCAATCTGCGCCTAAATAAATTAATGACCCCTAATTATAGCTACTTCCACAAGCATTATACATATCGAGACCTTTAAGAACAGAATATGCAAAATATCTAAATTCAAATTTTAATATCCCTAAATTGTTTGCATTCTAATTAATTTTAGAGCTTATAGAAGTAGCTACTATCTCTGTTACGGTTGAAAATAATTCATGGACAAATCATAACTAGTCATGGGACAAGACAATCCATGAGGACCACTGTAGGCATCCATTATGCTTTTTAAGAAAGAAAATAGGAAAATATTTCGCAACAAAAGAAGACAAATGACTAACCAGTTGATCCTTAACTTCTTCCTGCAATCGTTCAATCTCAGATTTTAATTCGCTGATAAATTTAGCCTGGACAAAGAAAACATGGAATTTTCAACAAAAGAACAATACAAAATAAAGGGTACAAGAAAAAACTATATCAAAATATGAAGAAAATCATTTCAACAACGGAGCAACATAAAGAATTGAGAAATAGCAACCAAGAAAAACCACCATGAGAAATCAAGCCCTGAGTTCATTCAATGGGAACTAATCCCAGTGGCAAGTACGTTAGTCAGCCAAAAGATGAAATGATCTCATTTCTCCCACTTCACAATCATTAATTCCTTTTGCATGCAGACAAAGAAACCCTTAATGTAAAAATAAACAGTGAATAAAACAATATCGCATTCCATGAATCATGATAGGCTATTAAAAAGTGTAAATCATGAATCATGATAGTTTCATTTATTCAGTTAAATGTGTCATTAGTGTTTCAGATACACAATTTTCTCTAGTAGTTAGGTGATACAAGCAGTGGCACTTTTAAGATTTGTCATTTTCTAAAATAAATAAAACCAATGACAAAGTGGTGGTTGGGAATGGTGAAAGAGAAAAGTTCAGGGTATGGAAGTCATTAAAATTGCAAAATCGGCAATAATAATGAATTTTAAGGCACGTGAATGATAAATTCAATCCAAGGTGTGAAAACATTATCGCATGCTAACATGTTAAAACGTGAAACAAATAATTTTCCTTCCATTTTCTACCTTCTTCCATAACGATAGAATGAAGCCCCTTGCATCAACAAAATGTGCAGCCTAGAATATAGGCCTATATAGTTGGCGCATGGCCAAAAAAAAGTGTGATCTACAAAGACTAAAAGCAAAAGATTTTATTTAAATATAAAGGTTACCGAATCTATTAACTTGAACAAACAAGTTTTTAAAAGCTGCTTCGAGGGCCATTTGGTTCCAAGTATTTGGAATTTCAGTAACATAAATGTAATGCAAAGTAAATAAAATGATTTGGAATACATTACTATACTTAGTTGGTTATAGAATAAATTCAGGAGAATATTTTTTATAATCTTCGTGGAAGCCCTGTCGGTCAACTTTTTCGATTGATAGATTTAAATTTTGAAAATATGAAAATATGAAAATAATTTTTGAGATTTAATTTAACTATAAGAGATATATATAGTTTGGGTTTTGAAAGTAGTATGTTTTAATTTTTTAAAAATGAGACCAAGTGGATCTCATTCGTCCAATAGTTTGCATAATCGTGTCTGATACCGCGAATACTACACCCTCCCGAAAGATAAGTGTAGACCTCGGCGATAGACCCAATCCTGCAAACTAAGAGATTTGTGACATCCGTTTAGTCTGCGAACCTTTTATATATGACCGACAAATTCCCCTATTTAATACAAAGATTAAATAGGGTTTATTTTACCTGGGTTCCAAGTTCCCTATAGAAGCAAGCCCCTATAGTTAATTACATCCCAAATGACGGGAGTCACTTGAGAAAACTCTCGATAATGATCAATGGTTCTAGTCTTCAAGAATTTAAGGTTTTCAAGGTCAAGGTAGGATGAGGAAAACCAAGTGGGAATGGCTCAATGCGGAACACTTATTTTCAGGAGTCCAAAGGAAGGAACAGGTAAGGGATATCATAGATCCTGAGGAGAAACCTCAGTGACATCCCGGACTATCCCAATGTGTGGTTATGTTTTGGAAAAGATGTTATTCAATAGTTCAATCCTGCCAATTTTATTACTTAGGACTTACATTTACATAATACCCGATTGTGCAAATAACCCACAGAGAAAGGAGGGTTTACGTCGTATCACACAACAACCTCGGAACGTAAAGCGAGTTAAATCTTCTTGTTGCTCGGTCTGAATCCCTCGCCGTGCTGCCCATAAAGTTGGCTCTAAGCTTCTGCCGTCGCGACGGCACCAGGGTTTAAGTATTTGAGATTGGTGATTTGTGCTTCACAGTTTTGGTGTCAATGTTTGGTTTTGTTTTGTTTCGATTTTAATTTTGCATGCAGAATAAACAAATCGCAGGTAAATAAAAATGTACTTAAAAGGTAAAATGCAGTAAAGTTAAATGCTGTAGATAAACTATAAAAGCGTACCTGGGCACCTGCTACTGTTGCGTGATTAATATTGCGACATAGTATGATTTGCAGTAGATTTTAATAAATTTGCAAGAAAATTAAATAAAGCAATAAAACCCAACATGAAAGTCATAAAAAAAAAGTAGTAGAAATCATGAGCAAAAGAAACCCTTAGCCACATATGAAAGATCAGGACTGAGTGTAAGACATTGGTAAAAGTAGGGGCTCAGAGCTGGATTGTGTGCTTCCCGACCTTGGGTAAGAGTTGCCAACCCTGACAATCTACAGAAGGCAGTCCTTAACCTCGATCCAAATGACTAACCATGGACTTTTATAAATTTTCATAGAAAGGTTTTCATGCACAAGTTGTTCAAGACTTTTTTTTTTTTTTGTAGAGTTCTTTTTGACATGCAAAAGAAATTTTTATTTTATTTTTGTAAATATTTTGTAAAGTGGTACAGTCCACAGGCTAGTCACTCTAATCGTGCTAGAACTACTGACAACCTAAGAGTGTCGGGGCAACGATCCCACCAAGAAGCAGCGAATAGTATCATAGATAAATAGTAACACCACATTTAAAATGCCTCAAACAACAATTTTAAAATTCTAAAATTGCAAACACTTTCGTATCCCTCGTTTAAGCACACATAAGCAATGTCGTCATCGCCCTCGCCACCTAGACCCTAGACTTATCCTAGTCCGATGATCCATATGTGGCGTTAAGAAATTTCTCCAACTACCAGGAGGATTTGAGTGTAATATCCAAGCTCAAATCTCAGTACACTGGGTTTTATTGTAGGTTAAGTCATTGAGAGAATTTCACTGTTGATTTAATTAAGGAAGCATGGGTCACGTCCCGGTGTATCATGTCTAGTGTCTTGATCAATTTGTGAATCATGGTCAAGTGTCTAGTTTCATTGTGCATTTGAGGATTAGATGAATCAACGCTCACTTAAGGTGTGTACTTAAGCTCCAGAAAGCCTACACTAAGGACTAAGTAGATGGGCTCTCACCCAGGGTGTGCACCTAAAGTCTAGGAGATCTACACTGAGGACTAAGTGGATGAACTCTCACCTAGGGTGGGCTCCTAAAAACTAGGAAGTCTATGCTGAGGATTAGGTGGATGGACTCTCACCTAGGATGTGTACTTAAGCTTTCAGAAGTCTACACTTAGGATTAGGTGGATGGGCTCTCACCTAAGGTGTGCATCTAAAGTTCTAGGAAACCTACATTTAGGATTAGGTGGATGGGCTCTCACCTATGGTGTGCACCTAAAGTTCTAGGAAAC